TTTCCCCACGACATTTAATAGATCGACTTGACCTCTGATCATGGCGGCGCGGCGCACGGCGGTACGGCGTGGGTCAACCAGGAAGGGGAAAGGCCAAAAGACTAAGACCAAGAGCAAGAAGACCTTGGGAAAAGCAGCAGCCCTTCCAGGTCAATTGCGGTCTCTGTGGCTTCTACATGTGCTGAAGGAGGGTAGTTGCTGGCTGTACGTTGCGTTGCTGCTGACCCATGTACTTTGTCTGAGGATCACCGAATGCTTGAGGCTACAATCACGAGACTTTTCATTCAAGACAAACTCTGTGCTCGTTGGCCCACTTAAGAAGCAAGCAGCAGTCCGAAAGCCGTTGTTGCCAGAGGTCAAACAAGTCTTGAAATTCCTCAAGGAAAAAGGGATCACTCGGAAGCGGACGACTAGAAAGGGGGGCAAGAGGCGAAGTCACTTGGATCGATAGATGGCGTTGGCCTGATCAAGGGCAACTCTTTCCTACTAGTCGAGATGATTCCTATGGCACTTGCCGAAGCAAAGACACTGCGTGCAAGGCGGTGTCAAGACTCCGCAAAACGTTTCACGAGCCTGTTGAATCTTCTATAAGGACTCATTCAGGGCGGCATCGGATGGTCAATGACTTGAAATCAGCTGGAATTCCTGACGAAGTAGGTATGGCATTCGCCCGGATCAAAGATCGAAAGACTTATGAAGGCTATGGAAAATTCAGCGAAGATCAAAAACATACGGTCATCAAGAAGAACAAAGCTCTTCGAGACACTGTGGCCAGCTTGTTTCCTAAAGGACATGGAGTTATTGCGAAGGCATCAAAACGAGGCCGCAATTAGAAGCTCCAAGTTGCATGCGCTGACTGACAATTTGAAAAGAAAAACGTGGCGATAAATTGTTTTTCAACGCCCAGCCTTTTGTTGATTTTACAAGGATTTGTTACAGTTCAGGTTTGCCTCTCTTTGTCTCTCTGCGCGTCGATGGTTTCAACGTTCTAAGGCCATACTTTCAAGCGTTGGACTGTCGAAATATTTGTGTGGCAATTGAAAGCTGAATATTTGTATATAAACATATAGATGTAAAAAAAATCTACATATGTAATTATGGTGAAATGCATTTCTGTTTCATTTCACTTTGGACTTTGCAAATCATTAACGACAAAGCGATCAATACATCGCGGTGCTGCATTAGTACCGATGTTGATCACTTTGGTGATATTTATTGAATTCGAAACTGCTCGTGACAAGAGATCTACTGCTATTTCAATCTCAACCACAAGGTAAACGTGCGATGTTTCAAACAATATATTCAACCAGTTCAGTGGAGCAGTGGAGCAAACTCATGTTTTATGTAGATGGCCAGAGTCACTCGTAGCATGATAATTATCATATAAGTCCCAGGCACTTGCGCAGCACCTCGACTTATATGATAATATATTGCCTGTTTTCATCCAGACTTTAAACGACATATGTTAGGAGGAACTTCTTACTCGGAGCTTGCACTTATATACTTGTATATAGCCTGCACTTATATAGCGCCTGTTCTTCTTTCATGTTTTGTCTTATCTTATATTTTCTTATGTTTTCTCTTTTTTCTCGTCTCTTCTCTTCTTGTCTCTTGTGTTCTCTTCGCTTCTTTCATCCAGACTTTGAATGCACGATGTTTCAAACAAATATTGACCCAGTTCAGTCGAGCAAAGACATTTTTCTTGTAGAAGGCCAGCGTCACTCGTAGAATTATGTATCATATAAGACCCAGAGGCACTTGTGCAGCACCTCGACTTATATGATCTTATATGGCGTTTGTTCATCCAGACTTTAAACCACACATGTTTCGAGGCACCTCTTACTCAGAGCCAGCAGGCATTTGTAGCAGCGCCTGTCCTATTTCAATGTTGTTGCTATTTTCTTTCTGTTCCTTTATATATATTCTATTCTCTTCTCCTCTCCTCTCGTCTCTTCTCTTCTCGTCGCTTCATTTCGCTTCTCTTCCCTTCCCTTCTCTTCTCTTGTTTTCTCTTATCTTTTCTTCTCTTCTGTTCTTGGCAATTTTCCTTTTGGGTTGGACAGGGGCAAGGCCATGATGCAAGAAATGATGGCTCTAAATCGGTCCAAAAAAGGTCTTAAATTTAAGACCTTTTTTTGGACCGATTTGGACCGAGCATTTCTTGCGTCATGGCCTTGTCCCTGTCCAACCCAAAAGGAAAATTGCCATCTCTTCTCTTCTCCTCTTTCTTTCATTCCAGTCTGTGTGCACAAAGGGCTTTGGTTCAACCAGTCCAGTCTGTGTGCACAAACACACTGCAGAACACACTAAAGAACATGAATGCATTTCGCCATGATCATGGCAAAATGCATGCAATTAGCACTTTTGCAGCGCTGTGTTTTGTCTGAAGAAGCCTTTCACATCATGCAATTAGCACATCGCTAAGTCCGTGACATCATAGTCTGCCTTCTCCTTGTCGCGCAGCCTGGGAGAGCAAACAAACTCAAAAGTCAAGATCATCCACTTAAAACAGTCAAACTCAAAGTCAAACAAACAAACTTAAACTCAAAGCATAATTATATAGTATAAGGATCTCGTAACTTCAACTCTAGAAGTTGCAAGATCTATTCAAAGCACTTTTACAGCGCTTCATCTTTACAAGTTTACAGCAGTGTCAAAGCGCGTAAGTGTTTCTGCGAGCAAACGAAGCTCAGTATTTTACATGGCATGGAGTAGCCTTGATTCTTCCACTGGGGAAACACTAGTATTGTGATACTAGCCAACATGAAACTAGTCAATGTATTGTGAGACAAGGCAACAACAAGGCTACATCGACACGCAACAGGAAGACCATCCTCGTTAGACTGCCAAGCCAAACGATCACACAGCATGTGAAATACCAATCGATTAGAAGAGTTTTCCCAAGAATACCAATCGTTAGACTGGCCTGGCGTTTTCATGGATGGCGATGCGGCGATTTCAGGATGGGAAGCGACATGTCATCGCACTTCACCCTCAGGCCGCATCAGGGCCTCCGGCTCCCGCTCCTTTGCTCTTGGCCAGCAGCTCCTTCAACTTCTCGGAAAGATCGGCCGGCTGCGACTTGGGCTTTGCCTTAGGCTTGCCCGCCGCATCAGTCGGCTTGCCGGCCTTGACTTTTGCCTGAGGATCGGTGTTCGGGTCGTCCTTGGCAGGGGGCTTGATCGGCTTGGGCGCAGTCTTGGCCTTGCTCTTTGCAGCAGGGTTCGGATCCTTTGTCTCTGCCTGGCGCTTGGCCTCATTCTGCTGTTCCATCTGGCTGGCATACGCTGGAGCGTACACCTTGCTCCGAGGATCCTTCATAGCTTCCAGCAGAGCCTTCTTGAGCCGAACCAAGATGAATTCCTTCTGTGCTTCACTGTGGCATACGCCAACATAGCCCGAATTCATCAACACTGCGCTGATTGCGGCATCTCCGGTTCCAGGAGTCATATCGATGGTGTTGATGGCTGAATAGCTGTGCATGAAGCTTTCCATCACAGTTGATGGAAGCTGATGATAGCTCACGGGCTGGACAATCTCATCGCTCAAACCTTTCGCCCCTCGTCCAGCCCCAACACCTGGCAGAGTTGTCAAGTCGCCGATGGTCGTGGCCGCCTCGGCCTCCTCATCCTCACCTTCTGATTCAGACCCCTCTGAATCAGAATCTGACCCGGTCTTGCCTCCCACCGCACGGCGGCGAGTACCCCAGAACTCCTTCTTGTCCTTGACTTTCAACTTTGGAAGATTCTGAAGAGCAGGCAAATCGATCGGGCCAAGAACATCTCCCATGTTGGTCCCGGCAAAGTGCACATTCTTTTTGGGCGCAATGGTCGAGCCCCCATTGTAGTAAACGTGTGCCACCTGGCTGCATTCCAGGTATGAGCTTTTGGTCTTCTTCCTGAATTTTCTGCGCTCAACGCTGTCCTCAGTGAACGTGAGGGTGATCTGCCTGTAAAGAGTCTTCCCATCCTTTTCTTTGCGGCCTTTATCAAAGGCTTTGCGATCCTTGTGCATCCCAAACAAGTTGAGGAGAGTCCCCACGCTCTTGCGTCCTCCGTCAACGATCACCAATATGTCTCCTGGGGGTAGGAGGCCTGGCTGATCAACTTCCCTCACCTTGGAAATGGCCTTGAACACCTTTGTTACTGCTGTCGACTGGAGCGGAGCTCGGCGGATGTGAGGCGCAGTAATGGCCTCCCCGAAGACATTCGCGTCAAACACAATCAGGCAATTTCCTGAAGTGTTCCCCCTCACTGTTGATAGCGAGAATTTCTCCAATGCCTATGAACGGCCAAGAATTAACAAAACGCATTTTGGACAAACAACTTCACCGAAATAACTTTCCAACATGAATGTAAACATTCCTAATTATTGCAAGTTGCATTGACCAACTGTGATTGTGACATGCCCTTGTCAACGATTAGGCAACAGTGCTTTGCGATGGTTCGCTCGCAAAGCGACAACCAGCAATCACCTACCTCATGGAGCTTCACGCCCTCATCATGCACGGTCAGCGGCTGCGTTGCATCTGCAGGGGCTGGTTCTGTAGCCGCTTGTGCAGGGGCTGCTTCTTCCGTGTGGGTCACATCCAGCAATGTTGACTCAGTGGTGAGTGCTTGGTTGATTTCCTCAATCATCGTTTTGTATGGCTGGTATTCTTCGATCATTTCTTGCGCGGTCTTGCCAGCCTTGATGGCAGCTTTGACTTGCGGAAGTTCGCTGCTGTCAAATGTGTAGCAGTACTCGAACAGGTCCATCATCTTGCTTGCTGATGGAGGCCACTGCGACATCCACGTCCGTTCGCTGTCCTGACATTGAATCAATGCGTGACGAGCCACTCAGGATGCTGGACAATTAAAACACAACAAAACACCAACAATAAAAACCAAAACAAAACAATAAGAACAAACAAGTCACAACGAACTTCTCTCTGTAGCTGCTCGCAGAAGCAAAGATTTTCCTTGCTGCCGCCTTGTGGTCGGAATCAAACTGGCGTGAGTCCAACCATCTGCCGGTCAAGTAGTCCTTGAGCTGCTTCTTCATTAGCGCAATGTCCAGCATGTTCTTCTTGAGCTTCGAGGCCGAAAGGTCACCGCATTCAATGTGCCCCATGCGGATCGCCTCTGTGACTGTCTCAAAGAAGAACTCCAATTTGGCTGTTTGTTTGCACTTTGCCTGGATGTCGTTGAGTTTGGCAATTGAATTCCAGGGCGAGGCAGCCCCAAACTCTTTCTCAGACCATTGAATGCAATTGGCCACAACATCATTGGCTAGGACCTTTTCGTACACAATGCAGGCTCTCTGTATGGTTGCTCCGTCAGACCGGGGCTCCTCATCGTTGACGGTGTCCGCCACGTTGTCCAAGTACAGCGCTGCAATCTCGGCATTGGTCATTGTTTTGTTGAGCATGCTCTCCTTTCTTTTTTGAACAGCCAAACGTCGGCACAAATCTGGCTTGCCAGGTGGGTTACTGCCTTCGCTGCATCCCCAGTCCGGCGCCTTCTTGAGATGGCGTGAAAGTACTTGTGATCAAAGCCGTCAAGCTTCAAGATCCGCCCCTGCGAACTCAAAACGATGGCCTTCCACTGGGCAAGTTCCGCCTCTGGGGCTCCCTCTCTGATCCTGGATGCAATGTGGTAGATCAAACCCTGAATTGGTTCCTCCGGAGAAACCCTTTCATAGGCACCAGAGTCTGCGCGGATGAAATCCACAGGTTCAAGCAATGGGCTGACTCGTCCTCCAGACCATTGGTTCTTTGCCTGTGAGATGACAGCACTGACGTTGATTTTCACATTGGGGGTTTGAGTTGCCAGCGGACTGCACCACAACAAATTCACACCACCGCTGAGCAACACTGAACTTGTCGAATCTGACATCCTCTCAAGCAGAACCTTCTCATTGATAGGCTCATTGAGAGCCCCTTCTGTAAGCTCCATGGGCTCCATGGCTGAGAGATCCCCATAGTGGCCACGCAACACGTCCAAGCACTCTTCCAGTTGCGCATGCCATTCAACATTGGGGTTCCTGTACTCAGGAGCGGCAGGTGTCTCCGCTGTAGCTGCACGCTTTGCCTTGCTTTTGGGCGGCATGACACCAGACAATGCAACAATCTCACACTGCTCAGAGGAGGAGCTGCGACAGTCAATGCAATGCCAAATCAGCCACCCCATTCAATTCACTCATTCAACTCCATTAAACTCACTCATTCCGCATGGTTTTCAGCTGCCAACATCACTTGTCTGAATCCTCTGAGTTAGGGACGTCTGTTTGTGCTGCCTGTGATTTGAAAGCAGTTCAAGTTGTTCTTAGAAATGTATATATGTATGTATATATATATATGTAGGTATATGTATGGCTTTTATATAAACCATACATATACCTACATATATATATATACATACATATAAAAAACATAATGTACACATATAACATGCATACATGCCAATATACACATACATACATATATATGTAAATACATATAATACATACACGCAAAACATATACATGTATCAAATGCTTTTTGGATTCTGTGGTACCTAATTAGGGATCGAATAATGTGTCCTTCTTACTCTTTGAGTGCGCGGTACGTTTGTTGTCTCCAAAAAGCCTTTGGTACGCCTTGAATGCGCGGTACGTTTTTTGGCTCCAAACCAGTGTGGTACTAAGGACAGGGAAAGGGAAAGGTCTAGGTGGTACGCTCAGAGGCTCCAAAACCAGGGCGGTACGCCTC